TGTGTGTGTGTGTGTGTGTGTGTGTGTGTGTGTGTGTGTGTGTGTGTGTGTAAAAATATGAAAAATGCAGAGGATGCCTGTAGGAGCATGAGGGCCGGGAGGAGGGCAGATGGTCGCTTGCTGATAGGACGGAATCCAGGCAACGGGGTCCTCCAGAGAGCTGGGTTCAAACCAGGTTTACACACACACACACTCACACACACACACACACACACACAAATATTCACGCTTATCTCTTTCTTTCTCTTTCAGGCACTCTCTTTTGTTGCCCCTCAACTGCACACACCAGTTTCAAGTCGTGTCAAAATAAAAGCTTGTGTATATCAAATGATAGTAAAATAAAATACAGGCGCACAGTTAGACAGATTCCTTGTTATTTTAAAGTTGATAGCAAATTATATATCTACATATTTTTTTCATTTACTTTAACTTAACCTATTATTGAATATTTGAAATTACAAAAATGTGCATTGCATTGTTTGTTTAAATAAAGATATCCCAGTTCCACATTCTCAAAATGCAAAGTGTCAGAATGTTTTTTAACCACCATTCACCTAGAAATTCAACACAGGTAAATAAACTTTGCCTCCATCTCCCCTTTAATTTATACTACAATAAATCTTGATCAAGATTGTGGTGGAGAAATACAGGAATCTGGTAAAATAACATAATAACTGGATCTAAAAATTAGGGGAAAATTGTGAATCTTTATAGTAAAGAAGGAATTATAATAACAATAATAATAATGATAATAATTTCACTCAAAAATGAGTAAAATTCAAAATCTGATCTGTTCTTCACTTTTTACCAACTTTTTTAAATTTAATGCCATTTTTAAGCTTGTGTGTCTTCTCTTGTTCTGTAACCTCATCACATAACTAATTGCCTAATGATTATTCATGAAAATCGATGATTATGGAATAATGGACACACTGGCCTGTAAAAAAGAATAATTTTGAACATCGGCGTTCACCGTTCAAAAATCGACCACCTTACATTCAACTTAAGGCTCTTGAGGCTTCCGTTAAACCACCAGGTGGCGTCAGGACACTTTCCGATTTGACCACCGATCAGGCCACGGTGTAATAAAACATACAGTACAGACACGAGGTGAACAAACCCAGTGCAGAGATGTACTGTTAAATGGATTTTCAGCTGGTGAAGGCTCGCACAGGTTCTGAAACAACAGTTTAAGCTTCATTTTTTTTGTAATTTAGACTGAAGCCACAACCTTTTAATCTCTATTTGAAAAACCCTGTCGATATTTTCTTTTTCCTTTTTTTGCACAACATTTCAGTGTTGATTTATTTGCACACGTTTCCCATTTAAACTATTTGTATATTACTTCATCGTACATGAAAATGATAAATAGGACAGGTTTATGGTTATTTTTAGTGCGCATGCTGATGGCAGCAGGCCCAATTATACACAATAACACTATTGTTACATCAGCTTCTGTACCTCACCTGCAGTGAGGCCTATATACCTTCATTTCACATCCTTTACAGACAGGCCTGCTTTTTATTTATTTATTCATTGCCTAAGAACATTTTTTTAAATTTTGCTTCGATGGTCAGAAATTTATCTCGCCGTGCTTGTCGATCACATTTCGCATTTATCCTAATAATAATAATAATTTGAAGTCACTTGCTGAGCATCTTCTGTAACATCCATCACACAGCAGTGTCAGAGCACATCAGCGGTAGCAAACAGTTCAGCGAAGCAGGTGAAACATTTTAAAACAACCGAGACGAACTGATAAAATCCCCAATTTTAATGCGAGTCCGCACACAATAAAAAATACAATTAAATGCGACTTTTTCCCCCTTCTTTCTTCCACCCTGAAGCGCAATGAACGTGCAGGACTGCAGAGTTTTAGAAAACAAATACGCTTTAATGACAAAAAGCATTTAGAAATTGTGCAATCGTTGATTTCTTTTTCCTCTTCGTTTGATCACAGATTTCAGGTCACTGCTATTTTGTTTTGGTTTGCCTCTTTTTTCCCCTCCACACATCAGAAACTCAAATTCAGCTGAAGATTAAACAGGGTGTGATTACAGTATTTTTTTTTAAAAAATTTCACAAATATGGGGCCTTATTTTAATCGAGGGAGAATTGTTATGTAATACCTACCCATAAATAAAAAATTGCCATGTGCGTATTGCAAAATGTTACATAAAAATATTGCTATGGTTATTTTTTTATGATTGGCGATGAAAAGGGAGGTTATAGACCTACTTTGATGTTGTTAGGTAAGACTTATACATTCAGGTTTGTTAGTTTTTTTGTACACTGTCTCACATTAACAAGCTTTGGTCTATTAAAAATGTTCCTCTCCAGTCATCAGTATTCCTCAGCTTTATTTGAGTTTCCGCTTTCTTTCTTTCTTTCTTTCTTTTTTTCTGTTATATATATATATGTATATTTATTCTTCATAATTTGGTAAAAGAACCTTTTAGTGGTTTTTTCCTCCCACATACACTCCTACTATCAGATCAGGTTATCAATCACAGGATTTCAGTGGCACAAGAACACGTGTCTGTGTTTGTGCTTTGGCACAGACTGACAGAAAAGAAACTGAACATACAAACAACCGAACGAACGAACGAACGAAGCAATACAAAAACGAATGAAGATACATCCCACAGATCGCCTTCTCCGTGAATGAATGAGTCATACAGTAGTAGTAGTAGAAGTATAGCCACTGTGGCCAGAGCTGGTACCAGGATATATTCAGTTTTTTTCTTCTTCTCAGGAAAAGAAGGCAAAATGGGCTGGATTGTTCAGAGTGTTCCAGCCGGACAGTCTCGGTCTTTCTCGTCACAGCATTTTGGAAAAGTACAGAAATAACAAACAGCAAAAACACACTGTAAACAGGCGCACAGACATGTCTGCACAAAAGGAAAAGCCTTGAAGTCCACCAATACTCAGTCTCAATTGTATTATTATTATTATTATTATTATTTATTTATTTATTTTGTTATTATTATTTGCTGCTAAATTAGGAATGTAAAAATGTAAATACTTTCACATTTTTATTATATTAAAGCAATACTGTATTTTTATTGTGAATAAGTTCAGGTCGTCACAATAAATTCAGACGAATACCTACAATTTTACAATAATAATAATAATAATAATAATAATAATAATAATAATAATAATAAAAAATTATCTGGCTGGTATTGGCTTTAATTTTTAAACATTGTACAGCAGGTGTCTGCCATTTCAGCCCTCTCTTGCCACAAGCCGCGAAGAACCCCTGTTGCTTTTGTTATGATGGAAAGATGGCGTTTATTTACCCACACTCACTGCGACTAAATCATCATGCCCGAAGCGAGTTTTTATGTTTTTTCTCCCCGCGGACACGTCTCGTCCGTGTCACACTCTGCCTTTTTTTCATCTCTTCTTCTTCTATTTTTTTAAATAACATATTTGATGATGGCACACTGGCGCCTGGGTCTGGCATAAAGAAAATGTCGCTGTTTTTTTCTTATTCTTTTTTTTTTTCTGGTTAGCACACACCACCCCGATACGTTTGGCAGTTCTGCGGCATGAAACCTCTCCATACGGCTCTGCTATGAGTATTTTTAGCGCTCGCGTGCCACTGCGTGTCCCCACTGTGTCTGTCCGTGGGTCCAACATCTAAACTGGCTGAGGTCCAGTTCCGAGCGGTCCAGCACAGAGAATAAAAGAAATAAGGAGGCGTTATACCTCCTTTAAGGGGTCCGTGTTTTTACTCGGGATTGAGAACTGAGGTCACTGCACGGGAGTTTGTCCTCCGTGGCGAGGAGGGGTGTCCCCGTACATGTCCTCTCCTCCAGGTATCTGTCCCCCAGCGGGTGTCATCCTCTTCTCCTTTTGCCGCCGGTTACAAAACCAAACCCTCACCACCTCCTTCTCCAGCTGCAGGCTGTCTGCTAGGGAGTTGATCTCCGCTGCTCCTGGTTTTGGACATTTGAGAAAATGGCTCTCCAGAGCCCCTTTGACGCCCACCTCAATGGAGGTTCTCTTTTTCCTTTTCCGTCCCTGTGCCGCGATTTTATCCAAGCTGGTGGGGCTCCCCGAGGTGGAGTCCGCCTCCTCCAGCCACTTGTTCAACAACGGTTTTAGTTTGCACATGTTTTTGAAGCTGAGCTGAAGCGCCTCGAACCTGCAAATGGTCGTCTGAGAAAAAACGTTCCCGTACAGTGTCCCGAGAGCCAGTCCCACGTCCGCCTGGGTGAAGCCAAGCTTGATTCGCCGCTGTTTGAACTGCTTGGCAAACTGCTCCAACTCGTCAGAGGTCGGCGTGTCCTCGTCAGACTGATCCTGATGGCCCCCGTGCTGGTGATGGTGTGTGAGAGACTGCTGGTGGGCCCCGGGGCCGCCTCCGTGTTCACTGAGGTGCGGACTGTGGCTGTGGTGGTCGTCTTCGCGCAGAGGGTGGTGGTGCATCCCCCCTTGCTCTCCCCCCGGCATCAGACCGAAGCCGGACTGAGAGTACACCAGGCTCTGGCCCTCAGATGTCGCCATACCGGAGATGTGCGTTGTGGCTGTGCTGGTTCGCCATGCTCTGGCGTCGTGATGCGCCTGCTGGTGCGCTAGGTGAGGGTGTCGCTGTTGCTGCTGTTGCTGCTGCTGCTGCTGCTGCAGACTGCTGGAGTTCTGCAGCTCCTCTCGGTCACTGTCATGCAATACGGGTTTCACGTCCTGTTCTCCGAGGGGACTAGACGGCCAGGGTGCCCCGCTGTCACCGTGAGACAGCGCCGTTATCCACTGGTGCGCGTGGCTGAGCGGATGCCCAGCGCCCGGTAACGTGCTATAGTCGTTCTGGAGCAGGGTGTGCGCGTCCCTGTACGCTGCCGCCTGCTGCATGCTCCCGGACTCCGAGTGCGGCGGCGGCGCGCTGCTGGGGGTACTGAGGACGCTGTAGTGGTTGGACGTTGCGGTCGCCATAACTATCGGAGCCAGAGTGATAGCTGGAGTTAAAAGGAGGCTGCCTTTGACAGTAACTCTTTTGCGCCACGGGGCAGCTAGGCGTCTCTCTCCAGCATCTCCCGGGCGCTGTGCCAAGGGGACGCAGAGGCGCGCACCTGTGGTCCGCCTCGCTCCGCTCTTTATTGGCCAAGAACGGTTGACAGATGTGGTTACCCCTGACAGCACCCCGCTCATTGGTCACGGGAGATTGTACAGAAACCCCAATCACTCTGCCCAACAATACAGGCAGTCCTGCAGGATGCTAGAGTACTACAAAGTGGAGGGAGAAATTAGGCAGTGTAAACACAGAATAGGCAGAAGAACCTGGGTTGTACTAAAAGAAAAAAAAAAAAGGGGGGGGGGGTCTGACGTTTCTGTCTTTGTTTTAAAGTACTTTTATAACCTTGATCTGGGTCACTGGGTCACAAGTGTTGGATTTGTGCGTCAAAACGCTGCGTAAAAGTTACACACGAGATGAAGACTTTAAATATTAATTATTGTAGGATAGTCATCACTCCCGTTTTAATCGTTTTTTTAAACGCAACTTTCAGAGAGCAAAATGTTCAAAATTACCAAACATTCCGACCACGTCTGATTCCACGCGCGTGAAGTTGGATATCTGGAGGTTATTTTGCGCCACGAAAACAAAGCAGCGATCGTGACGAGAAACTTCCAGCTGCCTCTCTGCCCCCAGGACGCTGTCCAGAGAGAGGGGCTGCGTGCTTCCAGCTTCTGCCCCGTTACCATGGCGAACGCAGTGAATGGAACAACGACGCCCACGTCACAGCTGCAATTCGCTCCTTCTTTTCGTTCCGTTCCAAAGGGCTCATTGGGGCCGCGCTCTCGGCCGACGGGACAAATAATAGGGAGGAGGGGGCGGGGGGCAGAGGAGAGGGCAAATCGGGGCCGAAAATAGAGGAGGCTTACAAGAATGGATCCCTCAGCCTGCTCTGAGCCCACTCCACCCTACACCACCCGCCCCCACCTCCACCTGCCTGTTGGGTAAACTTTGAGATGTGGCACGCGAGGCTTGGCTTTTCAGACAGCAGGCCTCGACCTTTAATGTGCGGATGAGGAACAAAATGTAGAAAATATTTCCTCCTTCAGCAAATTAGTGCTCTCCAACATGAGTTTTAAATAGTATACCCACAAGTCCCATAAATACCATTTAAAATATCCACTTTATTGCACTTTAAAATCTCTTAGCTGAATAATTAATGCAACTTTAGACTAATCCAGAAAATTCCACACTTATTTGACAGCTAATGTTACCTGTAACTATGAAGATTGAGCTTTTAAACATAATCTGATGCACTGATGTTTGATTAAAGCTGTGCTGTAATGACGATTTTAATGTATATTATATTAGAAACACTACTTTGTGTACATTTTGAAGACTTTGAATTCTCCATGAAAGTGTTTTTAATGGAAACTAAGCTTTCACTAAAGGCTTTCAGTACCTCGTTTATCATTGTAGGACAGGATCATTAAGGTGTTGGGAAGACAATATCAGTTAAGTTAGTGAAAATTCATCAAAGCACTATTTTTTTTGCAGCATCTGCTGGTCCTATCTTTAAATTAATGCAATAATATTGAAATTAACCTATTCTTCATTCTGCTGAGTCCCCCTGAAACCCTATTAGACCCCTCGGGGGTCCCTGGACCTACTTTGGCAACTACTGGTATTTAGGAGATGTGATTTTATTGGCTCAAAGTGGGGCACTGACTGTAAGACATCATCGCTATTAGGAGGTTAAAGGAACCTCAAAGGACCAAAAAACATCAATGTTTCACCTTCAAACAGGGATGCTGTGCAACATCATGGGCATCAAGGAACATCTGTGTAATCTTTTATATTTAAATATATATATATATATATATATATATAATAAATTTAAAGCCAGAGGGACTCTAAGGCAGGCAAAGAAAATAGCATTTATAAGGTTATTGAAGACCACGGTGACCTACAATAAAATTTTGTATAAGAACTGATAGGTTAACCAATAAATCCTTCAACTGATTGAGCCGAGGATGCATAGACATAAACTGACGCGCTCAGATTTATAGGGATCGAAAGAACACTGGCTTATGATTAGGGTGTAATTCGGAGAATTACCAAATGTGTCGCCAGGGGCTCTGGCAAGCCGTGTGTTGAGAGAGGCAAAACATATTACCCTAATAGACTAATATGCAAACTACTGGCTGCCCAATTACAGGACTTAATAACGCATAAACGATGCGGGTCCTGTTCTTACAAGACGAAGAGGTCGTTGTTAATTCAGTCAAAGGGCCGGCTATGCTGTCAACACAGGCAGTGCTTTTGCACACACATGCAGTCTTCGTTTCCCTGTCTGTATTCACGAGTGAAAGTTAATGATGGAGATTCTGAGCGTTAAATTAACAGTAATTATGGCCCCAGTGCTGTAAAGATTCAATTTCTTCCCAAGTCTAATGGGCCAAAGTGTCCCTGTGCGCAGGCACAACTCTTTATGAGATATTTATGATTGAATGATTATGATTGAGATGGAATGAAAACAAACACGCGCACGGAAAAACCCATAGAAGAAAGGCATCTGTTCCTTTTTTACATTTCCTACATTTTTGCTGTATTTGAATTTGTTTTTACTCTGTCTGTTTATTTATTTTTTTCGGTGTAGCAGTGCAGCAGGAGTACTGCATTAAAGGCCAGCACTTTTTGAATCCAGATGTGAAAAGCCTTTTTTTATTGGCTCCTGTGTAAACAGTACCACCCGCTCTCCCACACTGCTTTGAGAACGAACAGTTCAAGTGTGAGGTGAAGCCATTAATGTGAGCGAATGTTTGCAAGCACACCAGTACTCTGGCTGCTTTCACTTTCTCTAGACCAGTATGTGACCAGCCCATGTCCCTCCCCCTGTGGGAACTCTAACACAGGGGTAACTGGGGCAAGGGGGGCTCCTTTATGCTGCCGGACACAGGGAGATAATGGCCATTCCTCCACAGCTGGCCCACACAATCAAAGGAAGAGGGGGCTCGGAGGATTCCAGCTTTAACCAGCCCATTGTCTGGGCTAATTACATCTGAATGCAAGACTCGGAGAACCCACCTCCCCCCTGGGCGAAACCTGAACAGAATACCCCAAACAACCCTTCAGAGATGAGGGCGAGTGCACAGACACGGGGCACACACACAGAAAAATATAAACCCTGGACTAATTCATTACCCCTAAATGTAAGCACACAAACACTCACGCGCGCACACACACACACTCAAGCCTCATTCATTACCCATACACACTCTTGTCCCCAGCAGGCTCTTATCGTAGTTTCGTGTCTCTCACTCGCTCTCACACACACATACTCACTCAGATGTGGCACTCAGCATTAGATCAGATCTCAGCTTGCTCCTCTCAGAAGAGATGAGGAGGTCTTAGAGGACTTAGATTGAATGGAAAACACAGACAAGAGCCATTCCCCAATGCACCCCCAAAATCCCAATCTACACACTCCCTCGCGCCCCCAACCACCAGTGCTCGACTCCATCTGCGGCCTGAAGTACGTGGCCTGGGCTCCGTTCGGTGCGGTCTGTTAAAACTACATGTCAGGAGGTGATGTTTTAGTGTTTTCGGTTGTTTTTTGGGGGTTGGAGTCAGAGAATACATCCAGCTGGATTGATATGGATTTCCTATGATGAGCATTGCAGTGAATGCTGGTGTTTGAAACAAAAAGAGCAAAGACAGAGAAAAAATGTGTTGCTGTGATGGCTTATACTAGAAAGTGCAGGTACAAACACAGTAAATGGCTTTAAAAATATCTGTAAGAGTTTACTGCTTGCATCAGAGATTTTGAATGGATGTTGGAATTTAGGCTGAAGCTCTGAAAGAGTTTTAAATGCAAGAACCAAAAGCAGCTGAAATCAGTCAATGATCATTTGCTCCGAGAATTTAAAAATTTAAATTTTTATCATGGCATTTAAAGCAGTTGGTGTGCGAGTTGAATCGTGAAGGATGACGGCTGTCGGTTTGTCGTTCAGAAAATTTACAGATGAAAGCCGTTAAAATGTCAGCTAATCTGTAAACGATGACTGCAGATGAAATTTAATCTGAAGTCGAAGTGCCAAAGATAGTTTGGACTAAATGATAGAAATGTCAGTTGGAGTATAGTTGTGTAGTGAGTTAACATGCAGAGGCTGAATGCTGTTTATTAAACTTTAATGTCAAGTTAAGGACTGTTAATCTGCTGGTGTGCATGTGGGCACTGAAAATGTCAGATGAAGTGTGAAGGATGAAAGCAATTGAAACCACTACCGCAGATAGTTTAAGTGCATCGTAAATAGTTGTAGAGTCAGTTGATGTGTAGTCACCTGGAGGGTTGAAACATGAAGCCAGTGCAGAAGTGCCAAAATGCAGTTCCCTGAACGGCCATTTGAGGCTGGCACCAAAACTCATATCAGTGAGTTGGTTGCCTTAAATATCAATTGTAAAATCTTCAACTAAATACCAGCATTATCCATGTTTACAGCCTAGTACCAATCTATAAAGATAACCTGCTCATTTAAATTTTATGAAAGCTTAAACGTCTGCTTTATTATTATGGGCATTGCAGTTTTCAGTTGCAGACTGATGCCGACTAGGTACCTTCTGCTGAACCGGACCTATCGAACATATTTGCAGGGTTGACTTAATTTGGGTCATTTTGCTGCAGTCATCTAGCAAATAACATTTAATTCAGTTTTTCATATAGAGCCAAATTATAACAACAACCACCCTGAGGGGCTTTATATTGTAAGGTAAAGATTGTACAATAATGTAGAAAGAACTCCAACAATCAAATGACTCTCTCTGAGCAAGCACTTGGTGACTGTGGGAAGGAAAAACTCTATTTTATAAGGAGGAAACCTCTGGCTGCCATGACTGGTTGAGGGTGAATAGGGCGTGGCTTGCTGTGCAAACAGTCATACCAACAGCTCATACAAGAAGACTATAATAACTTAGACTTTGGTCCTTCCATGCTACATATACAAGCATATAGGGAAACAACCTTTCTCAAGAATTTTCTGTCTTTGGAGGAGGTCTTGTTTTTTTCCCAGCTGATGAAAAACTGCTGCAGATGAGCCGTATCTGAAAGTCAAGTCTTTAAGAAATATGAAGAAATACATTAAAGGCATGACACAAGACCCGAGACATGCAACTGACTCATCAGTTGATCCATTGACTCTTCAGTGAAACCTCATCAGAAATGGTCCCAATACAAGGTGGACTTCTAAGGAAGGAAAACAGGGAGAAAAGGCAGAGAAGAGTTATGCCAAATTACACAAGAACTGGCAAAAAGGTTTCTTGGACCGGTTGATGAATACAAATTCGAAATTTTTGGTACAAGTTGTTGCCAATATATATAGAGGTCAAGAGAGAGGTACAAGAGTGAGTGTCTGGAAACTGTCTGATTGGCACCAGATTAATTTCTCAGCATGACAATGACCCCAAACACACTGCAGTACACATACACAGCTGGATCAAAAAACAAACAATATCTTCCCCCAGAGCTTGGACCTCAAAATTACTGGAGCAAGATGGAATAAAAAGGCAGCCAAAATCCAGTGAAGAGCTTTAAATACCCTTTAGGAAGCCTGGAAAACTATTCCTGAAGACTACTTAATGAGATGACGAGAAATCTTGCCTAAGAGGTAAACAAATCACTGCGCCAATTTTCAATTTTTCTAGCAAAATACAAAGAAATGAGGGGGTAACTTAAGATTT